AGTGCCCAGCTGCCTCCTTATGCCAGGCTGCAGCCAGCGCCTCCGCTGGACCGTGCAGGAAGGCCTCAGGAACAGCCCCCAACCGCCTTTGGAACCCCCTCGGGGCCACGAGTCGCCAGGGGCGGACCGCTCGAATAGGTCCCGCCTCCCTGCGGAGGGGGGCAGCAGAGGAGATCCTCACGGGCACCAGGGAGTGGTCTGACCATGACAGAGGGGGTGATATCAAATCCCCCACCAGATCACGCTGCCACTGCTCCGCCAAGAAAACCACGTCTGGAGTGTGACCGCTGTCCTGAGTCAGGCCACGGATGACCTGGGCTAGGCCCCTCTTAAAATGAAGGGTCTCCAAAGCTCCTGTTCTGCATCTTTTTCAAACCCGCCCTTCTGAAGGATTTATTTTCTGTTTTCCATCTCCTTTCTCTCTCTCTTATTTTAAAGAAACAGATCAACACAGCTGAATCTAACCCTTTAAAAATCCCTCTGGAAGATTTTGTGCTACATTATGAACAGAAAAAGAGATTCCCAAATTCGAGGCCTTCCCGCTTCACCCTCCCTTCCTTTCAACTTAGGTTGCGCTCTGAAAAATGGCGTATTTACTTATTTGAGGACTTGGCTGCTTGCTCTGGATTACACATTGATTCTTCTATCTTGCGTATCATCTTTTGTTAATGGCTGTTTTTATCTGTGGGGAATATCAGACACCGCCAAAGTCGGTTGGAATTGGGCAGACTTGCTAATCCAGTAAACTGAATTGAATTGAACTGAATGCGTCAGTTCAGTTCAAGCATTGCTGAACAGCTAACAATAAACCCATACAGGAATAAAAATATTTATTTATTTATATTATTTATATTTATTTATCTATTTCACATTTAGTCACCGCCCATCTCACTCAAAAAAAGCAGTCCTATGATTCCTACTTGATGTTCCACACACACTTCTGGGGCAATTGTCAAAACCTTCAGCAATCAAAATATTAATGTAATAGTTGCTTGCTTCGTTTCTGCCGTTCTTTGGGGGGGGGGGGGAAAAGAAAGTAGAAGGAATTGGTGTGTTCTCAAAGGCCAGGAAGATGGATCGTTATCGGAGGTTAGGAATGTGCAAGGTCGCACCTCTGTGAGAAACAGAATTGGCACCTGGAGAGAGGGGGGTGAGAAGTAGGGGTAAAAGTAGAGTGGGAAAAGTGTGGGTTTTAGTTCCAGCCGTGTTTTGCTTAGAGTTGCATGTACATTCCAATAAATGACATCTTTTTGGAACCTAACTCGGGTTGCACGAGATTTTTCTTCATTGGGATTAGAACATCACAGATCTCACAGCAATATGGACGATTGCCATGTGCTCTACCTGGGGCAACCCTTGAAAAGTATTCGAAAGCGGCAGCCGGTGCAGAATGTGGTGGCGTGGGCACTTGTGGGCACCTCTAGGACTGCGCCTGTCACACCTCCGCTGCATGAGCTGCACTGGGCGCCGGCCTGCTTCCGGGTCCAATTCAAGGTGTTGGTTATGACCTTTAAAGCCCTTCATGGCATGGGGCCAGGTTACCTGAGGGACCATCTGGTCCCCATTACAATGGCCAGTCCCACTCAATCTGGCAGGAAAGGCATGTTACAGACCCCATCGCCTAGAGCAGTGTTGTCCAAACTTGGTCACTTTAAGATGAGTGGACTTCAACTCCCAGAATT